GCGCGCGTGTGTGTGTATAAGAGTTCATTTTTCTGGATTCTACTGTTCTATTTCTGTTGTAGTACCACACTATTTTATTTTTTGTTTTAGAATTTATTTTGTTATTTCCCAAATATCCCCTCATTTTTCTTTTCACAACTTTGGTTACTGTTCTTATACATTTATCCTTCTAGTCAAATTTTTTATATCTATTATCAATTTCCAGCAGTGACAGTAAAAAAGTAAAAATATGCAGTTATGATTTGAACTTCAAAATCTAAAAATCAATTTGAGGAAGACTCCCATCTTTACAATGTTTATTTTTCCTATAAAGTGAAAAAATTATCCTTCACTTTATTCATATCTTTCATTATGGCCTTTGTTAACTTTTTACAGACTGATCATGAAGATCTTGCATATTTCCATTAAGTGTATTCTTAGGTGTTTCATTTTTTATTGCTGTTGTCATTGGGATTTAACTACGATTGTGATTTTGTAAAGAAGAAAAATTGGATTGCTAGCTATTATATATGAAGACATTTTCCTACTGTGGTACCAAAAACTTCATCACTGTTATATTTTCTTTATAAATTATACTTTGATCATTTAAAATATCCCCATTTATTCCATTTGATATGCAACTTTTTCAAAGAATACCAATATTAAAAAGCCTATGTTTTTAGGTTTAAGGAAACCTCTGCATGAGTGAGATAAACCCATGAAGCTTGCTTCAAAGACCATGTGTTACCCTGTACTTACTACAGTGCTGGGGGAAAAATGAGCCATACTGCATGGAAAGGAGAAAGGGGAAAACATTGCCAGGGATTAACAACAAATATGTGTTATGAATGACATTGTTATGTTTCACTTTAGCCTTTTAAAATGCCTTTTTGTAGTTTTCCGAATCAGTATATCACAAGCCTGTGGCCCGCACAGTGCATTCCTTGGTAGAGGTAAGCTCTGTGGCACACTTGGCTCTTACCTTAAGGTGGTGAGAATTTAAGGAAGTCAGGAAGACCAGCACATAGCAATCTGAATTTGGACTTTTAATTTTGCCTCAGTATATTCAACTAACAAGGCAATTTATTGAAAAAAGTGGATTATTTTAGAAAGGGAATCTCATAATTCTGATTTCATACCTTCTTTCACCAAAATGGGGCTTATGTTTTATTTCACATATATTCTACCTTATGTGATGTTTATATGTTATTCTCCCTGCTTGCTTTCTTCTTCTTTTTTTTAACATTCACCTTATCTTTTGTAATTCTCTGCTTTCTTTTTATTTGCATTTGCCTGCCATATCTTGTCTCTATCTCCCTGTTTTTTTATTTTTAAATTTTTGATTTGTGTTGTAGGTGTATCTTTTATAGGTACCATATAGCTGGATTTTGAACCAATTTTAGAGTTTTTGTCTTTTAATAGAGAAAGTGAAGCCATTTACATTTGTTGTTACACA